TTTTTTTTTTTTTTTTTTTTTTTAAGAACTGTATTTGTCCATTTTCCCATAGCCATCATCCCCTTTACTAGAAAACTGTTAACATTTTGGATTCTGCACAATTTTAAAATAGTACATGACATTTCCATGGGAGGATGCTCATCCTGGGATAACCCAGGATTTACTTGTCCTGAAGATTTCTACAATTTTTGTGAGGCAAATTTAAAAAATTTAAAAGTAAAATATAAAAATTTTGCTATGTAATTAGAAGATTTTAAAAAATCAAAACCCTTTATAGTGTTATTACTATATTTGAAATCCCTAAGCCAGCCATCCAAATATTCATCTGAACACAAAAGGAAGACTCCCTTCTTGCTCTGCACTCGGAGCCCATCATGATTTTTACCTGGGTTTTTGCAACCCCAGCCCCCCCTGGCTGGTTTACCAGCTTCCATTCTTGCCTCTTCTTGTAGCCGTTTCTCTAGTGTGGTCAAAGCCATCTTGAAAAAAAATGTTTAAATCCCTTTATAAATGTCTCTGCTTGTCCTGAGGATAAAAATTCACATTTTTTCTTGACTTTGGGCTTCTGCACCTGCCATTACTTCGGTCTTTAACTCTCAATCATGCCCTTCCTGTGTTGGCTCCGTCTTCCAGCCTGGCCTCCCCAACCTGGCTCCTAGGTAAATGTCCTTGCTCTATGATTCCACTGTACCGATACATTCCTTTGAGAACATACCACACTAGGTAATTGTTGATGTCCCGCCTCTCCTCCTCAGAGCTCCACGCTCTGAGGACAGATTTTTCTGCATTTTACACAGAAGGCCTGCAAAGTGTCTAGATCACAGTGAATGTTGTTCTCTCCTTCTAGCGACTGGTATCTTCACTTTATCTTTTTCTTTCATTTAAAGGCTCACATWGAAAATTTGGAAAAYAGAAAAGAACCAACTTAGAGCCTGATGACCTATATATAAAAACTATAACAATTYATATAACTACATTAATGTTTTCCTAACAGATATAGATTATTTTCATTTCTATATCATATTAAAACATGCCAGTGTGCCACTTGCTTTATTGCACCTCAAATGGCCTACACATTGTYCTCTGAATAAACATAACTTTAATCACTGAATCACATATCATGTGGATATGCTATAGTTTACTTCACTATTCCCCTATAATTTACATTGAGTTATTTCTGGCTTTTCACTATAAAAATTGAGTAATAAATCTTACTGTATGTAAGTAAGCCTTGCTTTCATGGTAAATTTCAATTTTATAAGTGAAATTTCCAGATGTGAAACTAAAGGGTCAAAACCAAATGGTATAGACTTTATTAAAGTTCCAATATTTCCCAGTTGGCCTCTGAATTGGTTGCACTACTTCCCAGACCTGGTGATCGGTAGGTAACTGACTAACTTCCTGATGGTACAGAGCACATATTGAGGGAGATTCACTTTTTTTCTCTGGAGATGAAAAGCAATTTTTTTACCATGTTTTCCCCAAAGGTCCACAATAAAGAGAACAAACTTGGGTGGATCCTTTGCAGCCTTCCGCAGGTGAAAGCAGCCATATATGTTCTTTCTTTGTGCAGCACTGRGGATTGAACCCAGGGCCTTGTGCATGCCAGGCAAGCACTCTATCACTGAGTTACAGCCCCCAGCCTGCCATAAATGGTCAGTGTTTAGATATGCAATCATTCCTTACATCCAGTGAAAGTCACCTGTGAATGCCACTAACCCAAAGTCCACTGTGAAGGCCACTAACCTAGTGTCTGGAAGTCAGTTGTTCAGGAAGACTGAGATGAAGTGCCCTTGACCAGCAAATGCTGACCCTGATTAAATAAGACTGTATGAAACCCCTTCCGTGCTCAGCTAATGTTCAACCTTCACAGCTTTGTTTTTCTACTTGTCGTTTTTTAACCATTTAGCAAGATGTTTTAGATCTGTTCTTGGCATATATTTCCATACGTTCTYGGCTTAGTCTAAGAACTTTATGATTTACAAATATTAAAGTTGAACATGCATTTTTATACTGTGCTAGGGTGGCAAGTCCAGCCTTATAGGAGAGACGGATGTRATCATGCTTGTTCTTAACAGAATGGAACTGCACACCCTGTCTTCACATGACATTGCAGGCAACAGGTAGCAGAGCCTCTGGGAAACAAGTCCACTTATTTCCAGAGTCTAGACCCCCTCCTGTTATGGAACAGTCTATACATTAAAAAGGAGACACCCAGTCAGAATGCTCATATTGCCTAATACTGCATTCATTTAATACTGTTAAAAAGGAAAGCCAAAATGAACTTTTTATTTCTAGAAAAAGTGACASCGAAGAACATGGAAAACACTGACCTGCCTATTGTATCAGTAGTGCCCATTAGTCACAGACTGAGAATGTGCAGTGCTCTGAAGAATTTGAATGACTTACAACACAGGCCAACAAACTTTTTCTGAAAAGAGCCAGATAAGTAAATATTTTAAGCTTTCTGG